CACTGCTTATGATACATGCCTCACGATGGGGTCCAAACTACTCCTTCTTCACTAGGGTACCAATCTTTGGGGAGAACACTCGTAATCAATTCGTAATCAACTCTTTTGGTTCGGAAGTCAAGGAAAACGATGAGAAGGAATGTTCCATCGGCTCCGTTCTCGGGTACTCGCCAGAAAACCTGTCGAATTGAGCGGACTGCTCATCAGTCTGAGGACGACAAACTTCCTCCAACCCTCAACTCGAGTCACTCGAGAGCTCACCACGCTGTGGAACGGTCGGATGGATCAAACGAGACGCGACATGATATGTCGCTTGGGAGAATGATGGCATATCGTACCTGAGTCAGTTAACTTGACAAGTATAATACTTGAAGTACTACTTGTAGGACCCGGAGGTAATAGTCTTCACTCCCTAGCGGCATTTCAAATGCTCCAGAAGTACTTCACATAATCGGAACCTGAGACATTTGTACCCTCGCGGGCAGATTCTCTGCCGTATAACCCAACGAACTACCGGCAACTGTCCCCTCAACCACTCAGCCAAGCGTCTCCCATATAAACTGAGCAGATTATCTGCTGCAGATACTTCTTAGATTCCCCCGCTCCTAGAAATTTAGTCATAGCAACTGGAACTGCGACACGTTGTCGATACTACGGGGCCCGTAGTACGGGCCTCTACCAAAAGATCTATTAGATCTCACCTCACGATGCTGCGGTAACTGCAGTGCAGTCGTGTGTGTGAACGGAAATAAGCCATGACGCCAATAGAGGCGTATTACGGCATTAGTAAAAGGTAACTAGCTAGATACCCATCCTTCTGACCAACCTTCCAAAACTGTTGATACGACTCACTCGCGTTAGGAAGAAGGAGGGTGATAGAATCCTTCTCGGCACCATTCCAAGAACCCTCAGACGGCATTCCTGATGAACCACACAGAACATCAGGCGATGGACCGTGTCATTTGACACCCCACCACACCTAGCACAGTTAGGGTTAACAAAACTGTTACTCCTTGCCCCGTATCGACCCGTCCTTAATAAGCCACATATGGCTCTTAGGGCATGACGGCGCATCCGAAACCTCAGAGAACGCTTCAAAATAACCAAGTGATGGTTGCTCGTAATGAAGCTCCGAATCGTCTTGCTCCTAATCTCCTGCCAGTGGGTATACATGGGAAACTTCCTTCGTATTGATTGAGACACCAGCTCCTGTAAGTGACTACCAGGTATTGGGACAGTCCTGGGAGTGCCAACAATGGAGCCACTACGGGCCATACCGTCAGCAATCGAGTTACCAGTCAGACCCGCGTGCCCGCGGACCCAAATAAACCTAAAGTCAATGTTGGCGCCACGTGCAAGGTCAACAATGACAGAGGATAGTCGTGACCTCCTCCTCGAAAGGAGGGATTTCAAGACAGCCTGTGAGTCCGACGCAATCAGTATGGCGGAGTAACCACCAGTCTCGATTGCCTTCTTCATAGCCTCCAATATTGCTAAGGCTTCAGCCTGCGCAATTTTGGCAGAGTGTGGTAACCTCACCCGACCATACCCTATTATATCAGAGTCCGAATAATAGCCTGCTCCGATTCGAGTGGTATCACCATCATTATCATCGGTGGCCGGTGTTCGGCTACCATCAGTATAGATGACCACCTCAACTTCTGGAAAGATCACCTTTCCCCCAATGAAGCCGTCCGTCATCGTACCAGTGACCTCTCCGCCACTACCAATATAGAGCCATTCCCTCGGAAGAGGAGAGGAATCAGTGACAGTGTAATCCACAGTACCCTCCACAGGATATGGTCGACTTACCACAGCCTCCCACCATTTTGGATTTGGGAGCAACCTCTGAGCCATAGAGACGCAAAACGAACGCACAGCCTCTCATAAATAGTAGCCCTTCTATCACTCAAGAGGGCACATACATAAGCCAGGATTGGCCGTTCCTGGAACGCCCAGCAACACCTTCTCCAATCGGAGATCGACCGCAGAGATCCTCTCACGAGTATTCTTGAATCAAGAATCTTGATTCGCAAGCAGTCATCCCAGCACGCCAAGCCATAGGCCAGGACCCCCGTAATGTGGTTCCTGAATCAGGAATCCTGATCACCTCCCGTCCTCTAGGACTGAGTGTTGAGCAACCCTCTTTCTCTACAAGACGTCGGCACATCTCAATCTCTCTTCTAGCTCGAGCCACTGCCTCCTCGAAGTGAGGCAACCAAGAGCCACCAAGGGTTAAGCTCATACCCCGGTAGCCAATCGCCGGCCTAACTTTTATACCCCGGATACGATCATACCGTTAACGAAGGTTTTATCACCCAAGAGAACACTCTTCTCCTCACTAATGTTAAGACCAAGGGCAGGAAGATGTTGAGCCAGACTGTCCAGGAGCCTGCCCACAGCATCAACCACAGGTTGAACATCTTCACCAGCCAGTATCACCAGAGTATCATCAGCATAGACCACAGGTATTAATTTGACCTCATTAGTGGAACAGTTTTCAATAATACCCATCAGGGTTGTGTGGAATATACGGTATACACAAGGTGAGACTACCCCTCCTTGTGGGGTTCCACAAAAAGAGTCCTTTTAAAGGACATGGAGAGCCTCATCTTACCCTTGTAAAAGCATCTTCGTCGCTGTAGATAACTGGAAACCAAGTTGTAGGAAACCGGAGATCCGCACATATCTTCTACTGTAGTACAGATAACATCATGACGGGCGTTATTGAAGGCCCCACGCATATCCAGACTCAAGGCAATAACAGTCTTACCCTCATCATCCATCTGCTTCATAATTTCAGATGCCTTTTGGACAGCCATGCTCGTATCCTTCCCTTCAGCATACCCATAAGAGAAGGCCAACCGACGTGCCACGTCACAATTAGGAGGGAGGGCCTTCTCAAATCGGCTGATGAGGGCAACCATCAGCATTTCCAAATATTTTGTAAGACGGGAGGACATGCCAATAGGACGATAGCTGTCTCCTTGGCTCAAGTCGCCCTTGCCTTTCCAGATGAAAGTCATGGCAAGATTTTTGCCATGTTCTGGAAAGTAGCCAAGCCACACCATATGGCGAAATATTCTCTCCAAGCCCAGTCTCAGGCCTTGTCCACATCTTCGAATATCAGAGTAAACGATACCATCTAATCCTGGACATTAAAACATTAAGGCTAGGGTGTCTGAGATCGGGAAATTGTGTGAGAGCCTCAAGGCAGTCTTGAAGAACTGCAACTGCAATGTGTTGATTGTCCTCTAGATGCCCTCTCCTTCTCTTGCTCCGAAGCCTTAGTCGATGGACCATAGTTGCGTAAAATATTCACAAGATGAGGTTGAGTGACCATTTGGACGACTTCACATGGAACATTGCACATCAGCCAATTCGGAGTTCATCCAATACACCCGTATATGATCCTTGCCATGGAGGCCTCTATTCACGTTTATCCTTGCTTAGCTCAACGTTGCTGGAGTCCAAACTACTGTCTTGTAAGTCGGAGTTTCGGTCGCTGGAGCAGAGGGCAGCACTTCCTCGTGAGAGCTAGGTTGGAGCGTGCCGACCTAGTGTTGAGTAATATACCCGTGGGGGAGATGTTCTCCCCCAGAACCCTGACACACTGTTCCTTGATCTTTGTCAATGCGTTGAGTATAGGGGTCTGCGCGTTATTGAGGTCTTTGCACATTGAGCTATTGAGGTACAGGGGAGAATGAGTTTTGTTCAGTTAGATCTGTGGACATCCGTTTTATGCACTTCCCCACACAAGGGGAGAGCGAGATGGATTCAATGGCCAAGAGGCCTTAGGCGTCCGTTTTCCCCTTGTCGACAAAGACTATTTCAATTTTTCTCGCCGAAAGGTATAGTGGATGCACCATGTTCCTACACAGCAGTATGAGACCTTCACGAAGTGGGTTGAAAGCTTCAACTTGAAGCCAAGAGACTAGGCTACTGAGTCTGGCCCTGGTGCTGTATCACCCTTCCTACGAAGCTTGTTTGTAGAGACTTCCATCGTCTCCAGGGTAACGAGTCCAAGCACACCACCAATTTTTGCCTCTGTTGATGATAAGTTCATCGGAAAATACAATGCGTTCCAGAGATCCGAGTTTACTAGAGTTCGGCAACGGTGGCACAAGGCCCTTGTGACAAGGGTGTGGTTGCCAGCTTGGATACCATATGGACCAATAGCTCTATGAAGACCCTACGACTCATCAAGGTCTCTCCGAGCTCCGGCTTTGATTCCTTGATGATGATGCCTCACTTATGAGCCGAAGGTGTTGGCCCTTCTCCTGACTTCCGCTCTTGGCGGAAGTCAATTGAGTCCATTCTTTCCCCTGAGGTACCTGGATAGCTCCTCCTTTTCTAGCCGAAGGTTTGCGGGCGCGCCCGTCCTAAAGTCCATCTCGTCCTGGTGCCTTTGGAAGGTGGCTTATGACACTGCAGACCCTGCTGCTCTCCGCGCCATCCGCGATCAAGATTACGGGCCCTCTCCTCGTTGGGGCGTTCAGCACCCTGACCCTGTCAAGGGTAGGACCGACGATTTCCTCCAGGTTGCTGAGCTCGATGTCAGCCATTTTCGCCAACGATCTGCGCGATTCGCAATCTCTCGTTACTAATCCGCGATGGTTACTGCCACGATTCCTGGCCTTCTTTCCACCACCGTTTTCGTGCCTGGGTGTGGAAATTTTCCCTGGTGTGGGGATTTTCCTGGGTGTGGGAATTTTCCTGGTGTGGAGATTTCCCTGAGTGTAGAGATTTCCCTCACTGTGGAGATTTCTCTAGGTGACACGGGCCACCCCCCAGGTACCTATTTTGGCTCTCCGTTTACGGACTACAGTTGTCCAAGAAACGGATGCCAGTTTTCCGTTGATGGCCTCTTACCTCTGGGCGGGGATGAGGTGTTGGCGTTCCTCGCGCGGATCGAAGAACCTGTAGGCTGTTTCCAGCAGTTTTGTTTAGAGGAATCCTCTAAGAGGAGGTGCTGTTTTTCCCTGGCCAATGGCCAGTGGCCATCTCGTACCGGGATCAACTCCAGCCCTTGGCTGCTTTCTGGAAGCTCGACCGTACGTTTCTTTCAGAAACCAGTGGCCTATAATACAGGTTTTGCTGAGTGACACTTAACCTGGGTAAGGTGAGTGGAGAAACTCTAGTGGAGTTTCCCTCACTAGCTCTGTGTGGTTCGGGTTGGTCAGAGTCTCGAGGAGGTTTGTACATGTTGGGGTCTTTCTTTTCTTAGACTCTGTCGTAGCTGAGATTTCCTTTATCAGATTTTTTCAAGATCAGCGCTGGCCTCTCTCTCGTGCGGTTCCACACAAGAAAGTGGCCATTTTTGGCAACTTTGTGTTACTATCGTCTACAGTGATGAACAACCTTCGTGTAGTTCTCCAGTACAATTTTTCATGGAATGTGACTAATTACTGCAGCAGGTTGTGTAGGCATAACAATTTGTAAGTGAGGACCCTCATTTGAACAAGGATGCCTCGTGGATTGATCCACGAAGGCTAAGTGTTATTGGGACATCTACGGGCACGATGAATCGGAGTGTCGTCTTCCGCGTCACACTATGTCGGGTCCGCTGTTGGGCCTCATGACATATTATTCATTCTCCCTATCAGGCATCCCAACCTTTTCAAGTTATCGCTTGTTATTGCAAGCTATTGCCACACCACGTGGCACCGGTGTGAAATACGATGCGTTATTTCTTGATCTCTAAAGTAAGGGCCTTACTGTAAGGCATCAAGTTCCTCAATCACTTTCCTGCCATCTTCTACTAATAGGAACGACCATGGTCCATCTATACTTATCCGTTATAATAACTAAAAAACTTTCTTTTTCTACGTGTTCAGGAGAGCCCCGTTCAGCCTGTGAGCAGTCCGTCTTCTACCATGTTGTATAGAACCTTACTCATCAGCTCATTGGGAATTCGTCCCATACAGCCGTATACAACCCTTGCCATGGAGACCTCTATTCGCGTTTTTTCTTGATCAGATCAGCGTTGCTGCGGACCAAACGAGATCGAATCGGACTATGGTCCATGAATCACGCACCGTGATGATTTATTGTCGCCCTCCGTCTGGAAAGGCTTTCTCGGATGTGTCAGGAGATCCCCGATCAGCATTGTGCTTGCCTTCTCAGGTAGACATGCATTATGCATAATGCATAGTGTTACACTATTAGTGCGATTTCAGTTCATATATTACCTCCATGGCCACCAGGAATCACCTCATGAATCACCGGGATAGCCGTCTGTTCGACTGAGACATGTAGTCTACATCCCCTAGGTCTACATGATGTAGACCAAGCTGACCCGAAACCTCGCGTGTGAGTTCGATGCAGTTTCTGATAAGACAGTCCATCACCCTGTGAAATTACCAGTGCTTAACCTAATGGTCTCACGTGGGCGATCTCGCCAAAAACAATGGAGAAGTCTAAAGCGATGGCTCCCCGTGGGCACTGCCCATTGGGCAGCCTCGCCCTATATCCTCAATCTTACCAATCCGGTTTGTAGTGCTCTGCTTTTAGAGATGCCCATACTTCGACTCTGACAGTAGTAATTCACCCTGTACTGCACATAGCTGGACGTTGTATGGAAGGCTCGAGAGTCCGCTTTTCTTGACTGTCTCTGGATTGGCCGCCATGTAACGGCACGATTTCAATACCTCTTCGGTAGTCTGCTCATCGGTCAGATGTTTGATGTCCTTGATATCCTTCTTTCCCCACTCCGCAGTGAGGTCTCTTCTCTGTTTCGGTTGTCCAGTATCCGACGACGATTCCGCGACGGTTGACGCGGGATTGATTGCCATGGAAAGAAATGAAAACCTTCAAAAATGAAAAAAAGATTCGTTGTTCTGAGCGGTCTGAAATGAAGGAAGGTTGAAGTGAGGAGGCTGTATTATTTTTATACTTATTTCCTTTGATGTACGTCGTAGCTTTTTTTCTTTCTTCTCTTCCTCTTCTCTTCCTCTTCTCTTCCTCTTCTCTTTTTCCCCTTTCTTCTTCTCTTCGTCTGAGTATTTCTGAATTGTACCATGCTGAAGCATAACAAGTCTGTGGGAACAGTCTACACACACACTGCACATAGCTTATTCAGTATATAGGTTTCTGTGAGCCCACATAATACCAGAGTGAAAGAGACCAGTCGAAAACCATTCGACTGGCCTGCATTCCGACCTTTGGGAATAAATCTCACATCCGAGCGCTTCCAAGATTGCGGTAACACGAAGTTGATATTAGCTGATACAATGATAAGAATTTCTTCAGTCGCACAGGTACCATTGTCAAATACTTTCGCCTCAAACCTTCGGAAGGTTGCCTTCCGAACCTCCACATAAACTCTAGTTTTTCCTTCCTGGTGTCAGTGCTCACCTCACATCTTCAAAAGTGATATCGTTCTCTTGAGAACTATCAAAGCTAGCTGAAAATCTCTGTTGAAGGCTTTGCCACCCCATGTTTCAATCTAAACTATGGAGTTGAATAATTGGGCGAGTCTTGGCGAGTTGAATTGGGTTGCATAATTGGGATCCGACCCGTATGACCCATACTGTATGAGCTCTATGCTGGTATCCAATTGATACTAATAGTATCATACTATCAATATTGCCAATATTTATAACAATGTTATAAATATTGGGGTATTTCACCCCGTGAATGTCATTCACGGGGTGAAATACCGTTCAAAACGAACTTCGACCATGATAAACGAATCTAAAACAAGAAAAGTGAGTCCGGGACATGGACTCAGGGTATATGTAGAAGTCCGGTAGGCTACCCCATAATGCGATTCATGATCGCATCGGCGGGAGCGTCCGACAGGGAGCGACACTAGGATACACTGAAGACGAAACGAACGCGCTCAACATAGGATTAGCACGTGCCAAGTTTTCATACAACTGACAAACGCCATACCAATCAACCCGCTGTATTCTCTTCCTTGATACAGCGATAGCGCCCCCGTATTTTGAGACTATGCAATCTGAGTGTAATCGCTTTGGGATCATTGGGATCGCTTCAAGACTGCTACTGTAGCAGTGCTACATCGTCGAAACACCCCATTTTCTATATTCTTCCACATTTCCGCCGT